TCCACTTGCCAATACCCTGATGCCAAGTCTAAAGTCGAGAACCAACGAGCGCCTTCCATGGCATCTAATGTAGCGTCTATACGTGGAAGTGGGAACGAATCACGTTTAGTGATAGCGTTAAGGCGGCGGTAGTCTACACATAGTCGTAGGGAAGAGTCTTTCTTTTTCACTAAAACGATAGGCGATGCCCATGGTGATGTAGATGGTACAATGATCTTTTTCTCTAGCATATCTTTTATCATTGATTCTAATTGAGGCTGGTAATGTACCGGTACTCGACGAGGTGGTTGACGTAATGGCATATGATCACCTGTGAGGATGGAGTGCTGTACAGTGGTCGTCCGATTTCCAGAGATATTTTCAGAGAAAACGGAACTAAATTGTTGGAGTACATCAGTGGTTGCTTGACGGTCTTTTTCACTTATTATTTTATTGTCCTGTACCTGACGTACAACTTCTGAAATTCCCACCTGGGCTACGGACTTAGTTGGTATTTCATGGTGTTGTATTTGCACGACAACTCCACCAATACTCGCTTCTGACTTATCCATGTGTATAGAGACCTGGTATTTTAACATGAAGTCGACCCCGAGAATCATGTCCCAAGTCAGTGTGGGGCAAACCCAAAATTCATGTTGAAAAGGCTTCTTGTCTATCGTTAGCTCTAACCCTATCTTAGAACACGCTTTCAAGGGTTCTCCGCTCGCGGTAATTAATGTAGAAGAGCATTGTTTACGCTGAGTGGTGTGGTTAAGTTTCTGTAAGAGGTCTTCCTTGATCAAAGATACTGAAGCTCCTGAAGCTGCCCTCGTCTATTATTCCGGTCACGGAACTCTCTAATAGCCGCGGCACTTTGAAAACTATCTTGTCGATTAGGTTCGGTGGCTTCGTCGACAGTCATCACGGTTGGTCGATAGGTCGCCACTGGAACTGACAGTCTTTCAGCAGTCAAAAATCGAAGTGCCGTTCGTTTCAAGTCGGCCGTGTCAGCCGGTGGCACTCGAAGTGGATGTTCTCGCAATGCACCTGGTAACAGTCCTTCAATAAAACGGGAGCGTGTGATTTCTTCTCGCCCTAAGATGTCCAGGCTAGGGAATGCCTGGGTTGCTATCTGTTGTAATGAGTGAAGATAGTCAATGGGGCTTTCATGAGGTTTCTGGTGGCGAGACAAAAATTGGATGGCTGTCTGCTGGGTGTCCACCTTCAAAGAAAAACATTCATCTAAAATCTTCCAATTTTGAGGTGGTGAATTGCACGCAGTAAAGCCGTTAGCTGTCGCTCGTTTGGCTGCTTCGTCATCTAAGTAAGACAGAAGATAGTCGAAGTGTTCCGATGTTGGAACTCGACGTAGGCACGTCATTACTCTGATTTTCCAGATATCATAGTCTGATGAGACTCCTAACAGTGGCGGTTGGCGAGGGGTTGTGTTGACTGTTAACTTGCCTGGGATGGTTGGGGGTTCATCATGTTTTGACATAGACACCTCCATCACCACTTGTAGCACGGATTATTATCGTTTACTTGCAGGCAGGAGCGATCTGAAACACAACACAACAATCAGGACTGGCAGATGCCACTCAAGTGAGAACACGGCGTGCGAGCACAACAGAGATATATTTGAAATTGAATTACGCGGTTTTAGTACAAAAAGAGAAGTCTATTACAAAATAGTTTTACTCATCATCCAGCAGGTTTAGTTTGCGCAGGCTTTGTTCTTCTAATACGTTCACTTTCTGTTGTCCTGCAATAAGGAAAACAAACTTGCATTAGTAAAGTTATACGTAATGATTTTCGATACTGTTACACTATCCCCTCTCTTCATGAGGCACTGTCCTCAGTGCCTGGTGCTGGACATGGATATGCTACCCCTCCTTCTGGTGGCACTTCATAATGGCTGACGGCAGTCGGGGGGTTGGCAAACGGGGTATCTAAGTGCACCGTTGTCTTGTCTGGCTTTAATTGATTGTAGTGTACTGTTATAACATCGTCTTGGGGTCGTTGGAGGTTACGTAAGACGAATGTAGTGGGAGACCGCGTAAACACAACTTCGTAAGGTCCTTGCCAAGGGTGATGGAACTTGCTGCATGTCCCAGGTGGGGCCAAAGGGCAGTGCAGCCACACACGATCTCCGGGTTTATACACAGGTCCGTTCGTCTTGCGATCGTACACGTCCTTTTGGTGCTTGCTGGCATTTTGTAGGTTGATCTTCACTAAGCGATAGGCGTCGGCTAGGCGGCTCCGAAGATTACGGATGTATACTACATGATCTTGAGCCTCACATGGTAACAGCGGTATTTGCAGCTCAACGGGTAGGCGCAATTCATGCCCAAAAAGTAGGCTCGCCGGTGAAAATCCTGTAGATCCATGCACTGATGAGCGGTAAGCTAGCAGGCATTGTGGTATCACGTCATCCCAACATTCCGTTGACGACTTATTGATAAACGATTGAAGTAGAGCTTTGATAGTCCTGTTGGTTCTTTCCACTAAGCCGTTACCTTCTGGGTGATATGCGGTAGTGTGTGTTTTTCGGATTCCCAATAATCGACATACCTGAGCGACGAGATGACTTTCAAAAGCTGAACCTTGGTCAGAATGAAGTGAGAGGGGAGCGCCGTACCGGGATACCCAATGATCAATGAAAGCCCGAGTGACTGTGAGTGCATCTTGTTGTGGTATAGGCACAGCTTCACACCATTTGCTGAAGTAGTCTACCATAACCAGTAAATAACGGTTTCCGTTCTTTGACGTTGTGAGTGGCCCCATAATATCGATGCCAACTCGCTGATGCGGACCTTCTGTCGTCATTGGAACTAAGGGTGCACGAGGTATTTGTCGGGGTGACTTGATAGCATAGCACGTGCTACAATTTTTGCAGAATTCTGCAACGTCTTCGTGGATGGATGGCCACCAAAACCTCCGGCAGATAGCATGTTCAGTCTTCCGTTTTCCTGAGTGCCCCAGTTCTCGGTGTACCTGCTCCATAATATTCTGAACTTGTATATGTGGTACTATCAATAGTGGTTGTTTTGATTCACTGACTATAAATAGCGTGTCTTCATACAATTTTAGACTGCCCCATTTAGCACAAAGACGGCGCGTCGCCAAGGAATGATCCTTTAACTCTGTCATAGATGGTTTATTATTGCCATGTAGTTGCCTCTGATAAATAAATCGCAGATCTGGGTCTGCTGCTTGAAGAGACGGCCAGTCGATCTCAGGGGCTGTGCTAAGGACGGCACTAATGATATCAGGAGAATAAGGTATACGAGATAGAGAATCAGCGTTTGTGTGACGGCTTCCGGGTCGGTATTCACAAGTAAAATAAAACTCCTGCAACCTCTCCTGCCAGCGCGCAACCTGACCTTCTGGTTCACGGAACGAACGAAGCCACTGTAGTGCACGGTGGTCTGTGCGTACACGAAAGGGTCGTCCTAGGAGATAGTGACGAAAATGTTGCGAAAGTTTTACCAAAGCCAGCATCTCTCGGCGCGTCGTAGAATACCTTGTCTCCCTCTTATTTAACCGCCGACTAGCGTACGCTATGACCCGCTCCTGTCCATCTGGTGCTATTTGAGACAGGACTGCTCCAATAGCTGATGAACTAGCATCTGTATCAAGTATAAACTCACCCGCTTTAGCAGAAGTGTCCGGAAAAGCTAGTATGGGTGGAGCAGCAAGACACGACTTCAAAGTGCTAAATGCTTGTTGACATTCTGTGGTCCACAAAAATGTTCGTCCTTTGTGCGTCAGGCGATGTAGAGGTGCTGCCAGGGATGCGAAATCGCGTACGAAACGTCTATAATAAGAAGCGAGTCCCAGGAAGCTTCGAACATCCTCTGCAGATTTCGGTTGTGGCCAGTTAATAATGGCGCTCGTTTTTCCCTGATCTGTTGCTACTCCCTCTTCCGTAATGCGATGCCCTAAAAAGAGCACTTCTTTTTGCAATAGTCGACATTTAGATGGTTTAACTTTTAGGTTATGCTGCTTAATTCGTTGTAAGACTGCCTTCAAATTGGCATTATGCTGTTCCGGCGTTCTGCCATACACAATAATATCGTCAAGGTAAATTAAACACTGGTGTGGTACAAGACCGTGTAGAACTGTCTGCATTAATCGTTGGAAAGTGGCTGGGGCATTAGTTAGCCCAAACGGCATCACTTGGAATTCATATAGACCATTGGGTACTGTGAATGCAGTCTTTTTTCTATCTTGAGGTCGGACTTCCACTTGCCAATACCCTGATGCTAAGTCTAAAGTCGAGAACCAACGAGCGCCTTCCATGGCATCTAATGTAGCGTCTATACGTGGAAGTGGGAACGAATCACGTTTAGTGATAGCGTTAAGGCGGCGGTAGTCTACACATAGTCGTAGGGAAGAGTCTTTCTTTTTCACTAAAACGATAGGCGATGCCCATGGTGATGTAGATGGTACAATGATCTTTTTCTCTAGCATATCTTTTATCATTGATTCTAATTGAGGCTGGTAATGTACCGGTACTCGACGAGGTGGTTGACGTAATGGCATATGATCACCTGTGAGGATGGAGTGCTGTACAGTGGTCGTCCGATTTCCAGAGATATTTTCAGAGAAAACGGAACTAAATTGTTGGAGTACATCAGTGGTTGCTCGACGGTCTTTTTCACTTATTATTTTATTTTCCTGTACCTGACGTACAACTTCTGAAATTCCCACCTGGGCTACGGACTTAGTTGGTATTTCATGGTGTTGTATTTGCACGACAACTCCACCAATACTCGCTTCTGACTTATCCATGTGTATAGAGACCTGGTATTTTAACATGAAGTCGACCCCGAGAATCATGTCCCAAGTCAGTGTGGGGCAAACCCAAAATTCATGTTGAAAAGGCTTCTTGTCTATCGTTAGCTCTAACCCTATCTTAGAACACGCTTTCAAGGGTTCTCCGCTCGCGGTAATTAATGTAGAAGAGCATTGTTTACGCTGAGTGGTGTGGTTAAGTTTCTGTAAGAGGTCTTCCTTGATCAAAGATACTGAAGCTCCTGAAGCTGCCCTCGTCTATTATTCCGGTCACGGAACTCTCTAATAGCCGCGGCACTTTGAAAACTATCTTGTCGATTAGGTTCGGTGGCTTCGTCGACAGTCATCACGGTTGGTCGATAGGTCGCCACTGGAACTGACAGTCTTTCAGCAGTCAAAAATCGAAGTGCCGTTCGTTTCAAGTCGGCTGTGTCAGCCGGTGGCACTCGAAGTAGATGTTCTCGCAATGCACCTGGTAACAGTCCTTCAATAAAACGGGAGCGTGTGATTTCTTCTCGCCCTAAGATGTCCAGGCTAGGGAATGCCTGGGTTGCTATCTGTTGTAATGAGTGAAGATAGTCAATGGGGCTTTCATGAGGTTTCTGGTGGCGAGACAAAAATTGGATGGCTGTCTGCTGGGTGTCCACCTTCAAAGAAAAACATTCATCTAAAATCTTCCAATTTTGAGGTGGTGAATTGCACGCAGTAAAGCCGTTAGCTGTCGCTCGTTTGGCTGCTTCGTCATCTAAGTAAGACAGAAGATAGTCGAAGTGTTCCGATGTTGGAACTCGACGTAGGCACGTCATTACTCTGATTTTCCAGATATCATAGTCTGATGAGACTCCTAACAGTGGCGGTTGGCGAGGGGTTGTGTTGACTGTTAACTTGCCTGGGATGGTTGGGGGTTCATCATGTTTTGACATAGACACCTCCATCACCACTTGTAGCACGGATTATTATCGTTTACTTGCAGGCAGGAGCGATCTGAAACACAACACAACAATCAGGACTGGCAGATGCCACTCAAGTGAGAACACGGCGTGCGAGCACAACAGAGATATATTTGAAATTGAATTACGCGGTTTTAGTACAAAAAGAGAAGTCTATTACAAAATAGTTTTACTCATCATCCAGCAGGTTTAGTTTGCGCAGGCTTTGTTCTTCTTCTTCTAATACGTTCACTTTCTGTTGTCCTGCAATAAGGAAAACAAACTTGCATTAGTAAAGTTATACGTAATGATTTTCGATACTGTTACATCTATTCAGTTCATTCTTCGCGCCTTCTCCATCGTTAGGTATTTCTTCGCGTTAAATACTGAATACCTATTTTCCGAGTAATCTCGTATTCAGCTTTGAGGATAGTGTGGTTATGGTCCAGCGCCACTACAGACTCTCAGACCACTCCGCCGAAGTCCCACAGTAAGGCTTCGTCTAACATTGTGAGTCACTCCCTCGACTCCCAGGACTCTGTTACAATAAAAACTTATCGTAAGATAACAGTAGTTAAAATACAGGATCTAACGTCACGGTCGAAAGCTGTGAACACAGTTTCAAAAGAAGCTAAACCCCTCCCTAGTTTAATTATTTGGAACCTAGAGGAGTCGAAAGACAACGACCCTGCTAGAAGACTTGCACATGACCTGCAGTTAGTGGAGTCTGTGGTAAGGAATGCACTACCTGAAGAGGTTTCAGGGGTACATATTACGAAAGTAATACGACTTTGTAAATGGGTTGGAGGCGAGACCCAACCAAGAAGAATCCTGAAGATGGTTCTCGGGAGTTTTGAAGAAGGAGACATATTATTGAAAAGCGCAGTAAAAACTCGTGACTCAAATATCTGTATTCGACCAGATTGACCGCTTGAGGATCGAATCAAGTGAAAGAATGCTCTTACGGAGTTGAGGACTCGCAAATTAAATGGCAAAAATAACCTTAACATTAAGGGTTTTCGGGTAGTCAGGTCTTGGAAGCCAATGCTTCCGAGGCCTGTATGGGTAGAACGGTTGATTGCAAAAAACACCTTAAGTGTGTGCTACACGAACGCTCGTAGTCTTAGAAATAAAACGTCTGAGCTAAGTCTGATGGTGGAAGAATTATGCCCCGATATAATCGTTGTTACAGAAACTTGGTTCATAGTAGATATGGACTGTTCTCCTTTCATTGCAGGTTATATCTGTATCAGGAGTGATAGAGTTTCGAGTCGCAAGGGAAGAGGTATAATATTATACGTTAGGGATCACTTTCGTATACAATCAACCATATCGGAGGCCCATATCAGTGGCACATGTGAGGTTGCATGTTGTAAGATTAAATCTAGAAATGGGTTAGTGACTATAGGGGGAATATACCGTAGTCCATTTTGTCTTGCTCACTACTTTATTCTAAGACACATCTGTTCTTGGAGTATGGCAGAATGTTGTCTCATCAACGCACCGCATATCAACTGGATAGAGCCCACAGCTCCAGGTAGTGTTTTCGATAGCGACCTTTTATCTACCATTATTCAGTGTGCACTTGTACAATTTATTACAAAACCGACACATATTGATTTCAATCATGATCCGTCACTGCTGGACCTCGCCCTCACCCACCACTGTGAGGATGTCTTTGATATTCAGCACCTTCCCCCACTAGTTAACAGTGATCACGCTGTAATTCACTTTAAGTTTAGGACATATGGTATACAATTCGTATCTGCTCCACCCCGTCCCAATATCTGGTGAGCCAATATTCCGGAAATCAGGAACTGTGCTATCTCAATTAATCGGTCGGTCAACGCGGATGGATTGATCGAAGATGAATGGAATAAGTTTAAGGCTACATTCGTGTCCGTAACGTCGCCGTTTATCCCATGGTCAGCACGTAAGCTATCACATTGCCCTCCATGGATTAGTAAGGAAACCCGGAAGCTGTTAAAGCGTAGGAAACATTACTGGGATTTATTCTTGTTGACAGGTCATGCACCATTTAAGCGTGAGCACCGAAAATTCCGTAATATCTGTGAGAAAACCATAGTCAAATCCCGTACCACTTACGAACGACAGTTAGTATATGATAGCTGTACTTGTCCGAAACGATTGTTTTCGTATTTGTCCCACTCACATCGAGATACCAATCATTGAATCTGTAAGGGTGACTGAGGAAACTGTCCTTTCGTTGATAACTAACCTCAAACCTGGTAAGATACCGGGCCCTGACGGGTTACATCCACGGTTGCTGTCATCTCTTGTGGAAATTATTTCAAAACCGCTCGCGACACTCTTCAACATGTCCCTTCCACTCGCTCAACTCTCTAGAGATTGGAGGGGCGCTATAGTCAGTCCTATATTAAAGGACGATCAGAGACAGATAGTATCTAACTACCGGCCTGTCAGTCTAACTAGCATAGTCGTTAAGTCACTTGAAAAGATAATTTGGGTTAGGTTCCTAAACCACATAGATTTACACAATCTGTTAGCACCTGAGCAACACGGATTTCGTAACAAGCATTCATGATTGACTAGCTTGCTTATTGCGAGGGAGGATTGGACAGTAGCCCTAGATAACTGTCTGTCGGTCGATGTGATATTCATAGATTTTAGCAAAGCACATGTAAGACCTACCTCTTTGCCGATGACTTAAAAGTCATCTATAAAAATGACATTTGCGATTTACGCAGTACTATGGAAACAATCCAAAGTGAACTCAACATGGTAAACGACTGGTGCAAACGCTGGAGGTTAGAGATCAACACTGAAAATGCGGCTGGTTATGTATAGGAGACACGTCCCTTAAAATAAAACTAACACTTAGCAACCACACACTGCCCAGACAGGCATCAGTAACTGACCTAGGGGTACATTACTCGCACAGTCTTAATTTCTCTGAACACATCTCAGCCAAAGCATCCAAAATGCGGAAATTGCTTGGCTTCATTCTCCGTAATTTCTATCAAAATGAATCTAAAATCCTTCTTTACAAAGTTTGTGTAAGACCTATCGCTGAATACTGCTCGTTCTTATTTTCCAACCTACGCGTATCTGATATACTAAAGGTGGGAGGAATACAACGAGACTTCACTCGCAAGGTACTTAAGACTGACTTGGTCATTGACTACAGTTCCCGATGCCAAATCTTAAGAATAGCACCCCTTTGGAAGAGAAGGCTTAGGTCTAATTTGATTCTCTACTTCAAACTACTCAAAAACCTTACTTATTCAACGTGTAAGATAATTCTTGAACGAGATTCACATGAATACGGACTTCGAAACAAAATATCTACGGTCAAAGTTGAGAAATACAGATCAAAAACTCGGGAAAACTTCTTCCTCACCAAGTATGCAATAAAATGGAACAGTCTTCCCTCCGAAACTCGCATGGCAGATGAATTACATACGTTTGTAAAACTGCTTGATCAAGCCCTCACTTGCACTGATCTTGCACGTACGAACACATCTGCGCCCCACTCAGACATCATAGGCTCTCTCCATGTCTAGACCAAAATGGACTTCAAGTTCAGTTTGCCTTATTTTTCCTACTTTGCAGTTGTATTAATTACTTTTTCCACCCCATTTGTTCACTTGAAGTAGACAGGTAACTCAATGGACCTATCATTACAGTTAAAATAAACTCGGTCGATAAGGGACACTCACTACCACCCTAAAACGTCAAGAGGACCGCACAATTGGCTGCCTACAACTAGTGGTCTTGCATCTATGGAGCTTGTTACCAATCAACTGGTTAGGACAACAGAAAATAACATCAGCACCAAGTTACTGTGAGTCCCTTCCTGTTTATCCTGTATTAACTTTTTACTCTTCAGTACACTATGTTGACTAGCAATTAATATTATTTCTCTACTCGTTCCCATATCCACAACTCATATACTTCTATACTTTTTCCGCCTGCTTAAATAAACAACTATCCTACAATATATCCTTCTTAACGCTTATACTCTGATTGGCAAACTATACTTTATACTATAGTCAACAGAGGCACTGCATCGATGCTTTACCGATGGTCCATAGCTTGTAACTGCCTGATAAGCTTGTAAAATGGTACTTATAGAAAGTGCTTTCCAACAGTTTGTGAAGCAGAGGATTGTGCGAGGTATGACGTATATACAAAAATAATGCTAAATGAGCCTAACATCACAAAAGGAGGGAGGGTGGAGTTACTGACCAGCAAGCATTGATGGTGAGGGCGAAAACGTCAATCCACCCATGTTTGTGGGGACAGAACATTTTGTATGTATCAGGCTCCTCATGACTGAGAATAATTCAATCAATCTGTGATATAGATTGTTTTCCTACGCTCACCACTCAAACTAATGTTTCCAATATTATGCTGGATTAACTATTCTATTAAGACAACCTATGACATGCTAACTCGAGCTTTTACATTAAGATTGTGTGGCTGGCATCGTTAAAACAAAAAAAGAAAAAAAGAAAAAGAAAAAAAGATAACAAAAGTTATAGTCATTAGCATTCTTAACACTTTACCCTCTATATACACACCCTTCTAATAAACCGCTTCCCTTGTACCAACCCTGACTTCCCTTCCTTCATGTGAGCTTACTCTAACTTGTTAAACATCACAAGTCATTGTTCTTTAGTACATTCTTTAATATGGAGCCTCTGACATCACTTCACTGTAACAAGACATAATATGAATTTATTCTAATTTATTATACCTCTGTCCGTTCTACTACACAATATTAAGCAACGTTTGGCGTTCATATCCAAGTGCCTTGTTGCTCTTCTGTTTCTCTTTTTTCTTCAGAATCTTGCTCTGAGAGCACAGCTATGAAACTTCTAACGTTTGGAACAAACTTGACGTACGAGTCCCCTCAAGGTCATAGTTTACAGCAAGCGCTCTACGATTTCACTTTATAACAACTATAAAGTTAATAAGTTTGGAAACATTTTGTGAGCCCACAAATGTTGTAATTTATAGAT